GTTTTCATATGCGTTTGGCCAATCAATGTCTACTTGCGTCACGATTAGTACCAGTTGTGCTGGTTAGACCCTGCTCCGGAGTAGGAGCTAATTTGGTTCTCGAAAAAGGCAGTTCGGTACTAAAATCGCACCCAGTTCCGGCGGTGCGAAAACGCCAAAAAGTGGGTAGTTCCACAATTAGTTCTGGTACTATGAAAAGGTTCCCGCGGCGCGAAAGGCCCTTATGCAAAACAAATCTTCAGTTATTTTGGTATATACAAATTCAACAGATGTGTTGCATTTCATTCATCATCTGATTTGCCATCACAATTAAAAAAATGTTTAGTGTTTTATTACACGCCATTAATGCTATTGTTTCCTCCTGACAGTGAGCAATGATGCCCTTCGTGGCAGCACTCCCCAGGCCAGTGCCCAGGTGCTGCAGTGGGTCAGTTTTGCTGACTCTGAGATCATCCCTCCAGCTAGTGCCTGGGTGTTCCCCACCTTGGGTATCATGCAGTTCAACAAACAGGTTAGCTTTGAATATGTTTGTGTAATGGTTTAATCTGTCAGGTTTTGAATGTTTTGTAAGACTGTACTCTGTCTCATATGTAGGCCACAGAACAGGCTAAGGAGGAGGTGAAACGCGTCCTTGCCGTCCTCAATCAGCACTTGAACACTCGCACTTTCCTGGTTGGGGAGAGAGTCAGTCTGGCTGACATCACTGTTGTCTGCTCTCTGCTCTGGCTCTACAAACAGGTGAGTCTGCAGGGTGCCATGTGAATCTGAGCTGTAGTCACACAATAAAACAGGTCCATATTGGTTCATCCAAAATCATTGTTTTTTAATTTTCAGTATAAAATGTTTAACACGCTAATTTCTAACTCTTTTTAGATTACTTCTGCCATCATCTAGCACTTAATATAAAGGGATATGACAAAGATTTAATTCTAAAAGGTAGCTTTTTTTGAAGGGTGCTTTCCTGTTGTTATTATTATTAAAGGGATAGTTCACCTAAAAATGAGAAAAATTGTTATTTACTATTTATTTAATAGTAATATAATATAATATTTATTTACAGCCTCTTGTCGTTCCAAACCCGCAAGACTTTCGTTCAGAACACAAATGAAGATTTTTTTAATAAAATGATTTCTGTCCATCCATTGACAATCTACACAACTACCACTTTGTAGCTTCGAAAAGTTCATAAAGCAGTGTTTCCCAGAGACTTGCACTCAATGTGTGGCGGCACTTCCCCGGGGGAAATATATAAATCGGCAGAAGCGCTGGTTGAAAATGCTAATTCATTGTCTGCCAGCAGGAGGCGCTTTAGGAGCGTCAGAAATAGCGGTTTCCCCGGTAACGGCTGTAATTAAAACAGCGCTCCGCTCATAAACGCTGCTTTATCAGGCATTATAGGAAAGATTAAATGAAAATGACATCGAAACTTTTCTAAAGACAGTCAGTGCCCTTCAAAGATACATTAATATAAAAACACCCGCGCTGCGTTTTGACTTTGAAACATGCAGTGCTCATGTTTATTCAACAAAGTCAAAGCATTTTGGAAAATCTATTTGTGGCGGTCAGTGTTAAAATTTTGCCGGGCCGCCACAAATAAATCAATGTATGGGAAACAATGTAAAGAGACTAATCCATATGAATTGAGCGGTTCACATGCAAGCACGAATCAACGCACACATCGTTAAAAGCAAGCGGAAACTCAAGCGTGTGTGCTTGATATGTGAGAACCAATGAGATTCGTTCTTGTGCGTTATGCAGCACGTTTGGTTTTCCATATGAACCAATGAGATTCAGTCTCCTATATAGTTCATACCGTTCTAATGACTAATATACAATAAATATACTTGACTAAGCTGCAAGGTATTTAATGGATCATTCCTACATTTCATAACTTCAAGTTATTGAGTAGTCAGTTGCATAAATAATTAAACATTATATTTCACTTTGAAATTGGTAGTTAGGTGTTTTGTTCAAATATTTACTTGGTCTTCAATTGAGTGTGTAATCTGTACATGTTTCATGTTTGCTGATGTTATGTTGTGTTGTGTCTTTCTCCTTCTAGGTTCTTGAGCCTGCTTTCCGTCAGCCCTACCCCAATGTCTCTCGCTGGTTTTTGACCTGTGTCAACCAACCTCAGTTTAAGGCTGTTTTGGGCGAGGTCAAGCTCTGTGAGAAAATGGCTCAGTTTGATGGTACGTTTCTCAAACCTTCTTGCTGTGTAGTTTTTGCTCTTCAGCTTGAACTTGAATTGAAGTGCAGAAAATCAGGCTGATTTCAGGGTTATCAGCACAATGTCATCAAGCACAACCAAAGATGTTTCTGAAATCCATAGTTTATACGTCATCCTGTTAAGGCTTGGTAAAATTGACAAACCATTTTTTTCCCCTAAAATTTGCTGGAAAAAGTGTGAACGTGGACTTTACATGTTACAGCGTGATCTGGAAGTGAGCAGTGCTTCCGTTAGCTCACTTTCTGATTTCGTTCCACGTGACAGTCTACAGAGTTTTTTTTTTAGTTTGTTCATGCTCTAATCTGTCTTTGTCTTGTTGTTACTAGTTCTTTTATCATGGATGAGTTCAAGAGGAAATACTCCAACGAGGACACCCTGACTGTGGCATTGCCTTACTTCTGGGATCACTTTGATCGCGAGGGCTTCTCAATCTGGCATTCCGAGTACCGCTTCCCTGAAGAGCTGACCATGTCCTTCATGAGCTGTAATCTTATCACAGGTACAGTGGGGTCACATTGACTTTGGACATTTTGTTTGATGTATCTCTCTCTAAACAAAATGCCAGCTGTGTTATTACTTGTTCAAAGTTTACTCTTTCCAATTCAGCCTGTACTACTTGCGCAAGTGTGTAACACTTCATAGTTTTTCCACAGTATGTAGAAGTACACTGTTGCTCTTTTCCTCAGGAATGTTTCAACGACTCGACAAACTGCGTAAAAATGCGTTCGCCAGTGTCATCCTCTTTGGGGCGAACAATGACAGCTGCATCTCTGGTATCTGGGTCTTCAGAGGCCAGGATCTTGCGTTTACGGTGAGTGATTACATGTACCCATAACCCATGTTTTGTGTCTATGTATGTTTATAGATAGACTCGGGGACCTTATATAAAATGGATATGTAAGATAAGGGATTGTAACGATTACAGATGCCAAATTGTGTTGTGTTTCCCAATCTAAGTGCCCTCAAAGCACCATCAGTGGGACTTGTGTACCCCTTCATCAACAACAAACCAAAAATGTTGTCTTTAGTTTACTGTAGTGACCATTATTGTAATTAGATTTTAAACAAACGTTCGATACTGTGGGTAAAAACCAAAGCTTCCTCTTTTTGAGACACCTAAGCGTGTGTTTCACAAGTTTTGACAGTTCTGGAAGTGATTTGCATTTTTTTCTGTATTAACTGAATGTTAACATCAAAAGAAATGTGATTCATAATTTTAACCTGTCATATTGTTTTACAGTTATAGCAAAGCAAAATCAGTCTTTCCCCATCTTATGTACAGTACAGCTAATGCACTTAATGTGGTTTGCAGAGTTTTTAAAACGAATGCATCACATTGACTAGATAAAGTTTTAAAAACTGCCAGCCAGATTAGAATCTTTTATTCCAAGGCTCTTGGTGAAAGCTCAACTCCAGTGCCTTATATTTGGACAAAGCTCTGAGTAAAAGGAACATAAGCTGCTTTGAGTCTTGGCCAACTGTGACCAATAACCAAACAATCTTTCCCATCTCAACACAGCTGTAGTGATCAAACTGAAAGCAACAACAAATGCAGCAGGGTTTCATTAGTAAACACCCTGAAAGCCCAAAGTCTTGATTGTTTCATATAATCTAGTGTTGGTAAATAATAACCAGCACGTCACACATGCATATGTTCTCTGATGTGGAAGACATTTCCTGTATCTTTTGTTGATGCTGATTCCAATCAAGTTCTTTGGTAGAAGCTTGCGAAATCTGAGCGTGTTGCTTGACGTGTTGTCATCCTCAGACCATGAACATTAATGCAAAAAAGAAAATAGACCCAAGTCTACGTTTCACTATGGGTTCAGTGTCAGAATTGCAATATAATACTATTTTATTCATATTAGGGCTGCACGATTAATCAAATGTGATTTTCATGCGTATCTCGTCAGTAAAGCCGGTTCTGTGATTAGCAGTATTGGGAGTAATGTGTTACAAAAGTAATGCATTACAGTAACTGATTACTTTTTGCTGTAACGCAGTAGTGTAAGGCATTACTAATCAATTTTAAGTAATATTTTACTCTGTACATGTTCAGTAACGCATGCGTTACAACACACTTTTCGCCCAAAATGTAATTGTTCAAAGAAAAAAAACAAACGGCAAGACCGCGAGACATTAACGAATCAAAAATGCCGCAAGTAAGTTCTATTTCCTGTTCGTTGTCAGTCAGTAGCCGTGTGTGGTGTCCAAGTTGGTAAATAAAGACTAAACAACAGCTTCTGATATATTTGTTTAGCAATTCATTCATCTCCCTCTCGCTGGTGGAACTTTGTATTGTGTGACGTAGTCCAGTGAAGGCGTGTTTAGGGCGGGTTTTACCGGAGTGCCGCGAGGCTACTGGCCCAACAGTGGAAACGCGGCATAATTTCGGCCTCTGTGCTCGAGGTCTGAGGCTATTAGCCCCGCCCGGCTCGCTGTTATCCCCGGCTCGCACTGGCCAGTGCCTCACTTCCGGTTCTGTGAATGCGGTTCTGTGGCTGCGGTTCTGAAAGTGCTGGTGCTGCGGGTCTGCAGCTGGATACTATTGGGGCTAATGGGTGAAGATGGCAGAAGACTGTACATTCGCGAGATGGACGTATGCGCATCTTGTCATGGCATTAGAGTTTACATATAGTCCTGTTGTGAATAATATGAATAGACCCAAGCTATTCACAGATATTGCCAGATAATCACTTTACCTCTACCATACTTTTAACAGACTTGGATCGTTTGTGATTCTGGCTGTCATCTTGCATTGTCTTGAGCCTTCACTTTGCCAATTATAAGCTATACAGTCATTATGCTACACCATATCGCTCTCTACTAGATGTAAAATGCTCTGCAGTACATTTTGTCATTTTAGAATGTTAAGTATGGTAACACTTTATAATAGGTAACACTTATTCACTATTAACTACAAATTTTCTCTCAATAAATTGCCTAATTTGCTGCTTATTAATAGTTAGTAAGGTAGTTAAGTTTAGGTATTGGGTAGGATTAGGGATGTAGAATAAGGTCATGTAGAATAAGGCATTAATATGTGCTTAATTACTACTAATAAATGGCTAATATTCTAGTAATATGCATGCTAATAAGCAACTAGGTGCTTTCAGATGGAGCAGCATTTACTACACAGAGCCGTAGTTCACTGACAAGCTACGCTGACAAGACGATTTAATTGCACAATTATGAAATCGAAGAAATCGTTCTGCATTTATGAAAGCTGTTTGCGTAGCTTGTCAGTGAACTACGGCTCTGTTGTAGTAAATGCTGCTCCACCTGAAAGCACGTGAAAATACTAGGGGTGGGGGATAAAATCGATACAGCATAGTATCACAATTTTCCACGGCAACGCGAGATGGACGTATGCGCATCTTGTCATGGCATTAGAGTTTACATATAGTCCTGTTGTGTCTAATATGAATAGACCCAAGCTATTCACAGATATTGCCAGATAATCACTTTACCTCTACCATACTTTTAACAGACTTGGATCGTTTGTGATTCTGGCTGTCATCTTGCCAATTATAAGCTATTCACTTTGCCAATTATAAGCTATACAGTCATTATGCTACACCATATCGCTCTCTACTAGATGTAAAATGCTCTGCAGTACATTTTGTCATTTTAGAATGTTAAGTATGGTAACACTTTATAATAGGTAACACTTATTCACTATTAACTACAAATTTTCTCTCAATAAATTGCCTAATTTGCTGCTTATTAATAGTTAGTAAGGTAGTTAAGTTTAGGTATTGGGTAGGATTAGGGATGTAGAATAAGGTAATGTAGAATAAGGCATTAATATGTGCTTAATTACTACTAATAAATGGCTAATATTCTAGTAATATGCATGCTAATAAGCAACTAGTTAAGAGGCCTTAAAATAAAGTGGTTCCTTAAGTTCTACTTCTGTAGTTATTTTGGTGAAAGTAACTCAAAAGTAATACAGGAGTCATGTAACGCATTGCAATTCTGAGACAGTAATATTGTAAGGTAAGGAATTACTTTTAAATAACAGTAACAAGTAATCTATAATGTATTACAGTTTGGAAGTAACTTGCACAACACTGGTGATTAGTAGTAAATGTCCAGCACGTGCTTTCAGATGGAGCAGCATTTACTACACAGAGCCGTAGTTCACTGACAAGCTACGCTGACAAGACGATTTAATTGCACAATTATGAAATCGAAGAAATCGTTCTGCATTTATGAAAGCTGTTTGCGTAGCTTGTCAGTGAACTACGGCTCTGTTGTAGTAAATGCTGCTCCACCTGAAAGCACGTGAAAATACTAGGGGTGGGGGATAAAATCGATACAGCATAGTATCACAATTTTCCACGGCAATACTGTATCGATACACGGACGCCAAGTATCGATCCGCATACCTGTTGACATTTAATTAAGGTGGACTAGATTAGACTGTAATACAAATAGTTGAGTTTGCCAGGTGCATACATCATTTATGACCGGTTTTCATGAAAGTGTTGGTCAGTTTGTCTGCTTGACAATCCCATTTTGCACTGCAACAATAAAACTGAAGTGAGATAAATGTAAAGTGAGAAATGTTTATTTTTAGTTAAAACGGATGTTGTCAAAGTTTTCCTAGTTTTATGATATCACGACATATGTATCGTGATAATATCATATCGTGAGGCCTCTGGTGATTCCCACCCCTAGAAAATACCACATTTAATAACATGTTTTTACTCCGAACTCACTTCATAACGTCAGATGTGTTTGAAATAAATCCTTCTGTGAGATGATGTGGCTTCTTACACAGAATAAGGCACGCAACATATTATTCTAAGCAGTGATAAAGGCTATGTCGATTAGCATTGCATTATTATATACTTTATTGTAATAAAAATTATAATAAGACTAACTCTGATAAATCATATATTGTCGTAGTCGTGTGTTTATTAGTCACGTTGAATTAATGAAAGCAGTTAAATCTTCTGTTTATTCAGCAACCGCTATAGGGATTTCCTGGGTTTCTTCTGCAAGGCGTATTTGGAGTTTCAGCGCGAGAGCGCCCTCTGGCCTTCGGATGGAGATTTACTGCTGATCACAGAACTGTGCTTCACTGAAAGATACGCATGACAATCGCAGCTTCTGCCTAATCGTGATTTATCGCCTTTGCGATTTAATTTCGATTAATCGTGCAGCCCTAATTCATACTCACTTTTACTGTCATGTATTCATAATATATTACTGTTGTGTGATTACCGTTGGTACTGTTTGGTTGTCAAACACCACCCTAGATGTCCAATGTGAAATATAGATGCTGAAGCAAAACTAGTTTTCACTGTTCTATGAACAAATTTGAAAACATTACATCAAGGTTTTACCTGTGCCATGGGATAGCCAGACTAATTGACTAGCTGCTTTTGATTTGCTTTCCATTTGTCCATTCATTAACAAATGTGCATCAGTATTGTGCAGTTACACTGAATAGATAGAAATAGTATTATAAAAAGGAGTTTTTTTTAGGAGACTGGTGATCTGTATATATTTTGATATGGTTAGTTGATTTTGAAAAGTTAACAGTACAAATCAGTTTTGTTTGCAGTTAATAGCATGCAACTACAAACAAAATGTAACGAATCCTTCCTGTGGAAGATTGAGGATAATTTATTTCAGCTGTAGATGGGCAGTTTTTTTTTTTTTTTTCTTTCCTTAAAACTTTGCCATAAGATAGCCTTAAAATTTTTTAACTCATTCTGCACCCTGAAGATGTCATGCAAAACACTTATTTCCATTTCAAAGTTATGTGAGTTTATAAAAAATAATATTAAAGTTAGAGTAGTAACTCAATGTATTTTATTTTTTGTTCTTTTATTCATG